TGTAAATAGGATATCATGTCCGCATCTTGTACAGCAATTAACCACTAGGAAGAATGTATGCAATGTGTTAATTATTGAAACTGTCCTACCGATTTGGTGTGAAACTGTTTCATTGCTATTTGTTTCTCAATAAAATTATGGGAAAAAAAAAACAAGAAAAAAAGAAACAAGAAAAAAAAGAAAGGGAAGGAGCAGGCACTGGTCAGCCAGGTCAGCATGGCTGTGCGCAGCGTGGTTGAGGAGCACCTCTGGGCTGCCTTGGTGGATCCTGGGGGTGTGGGAAGGCCGGGGTCAGGGCGCCCTCTCTGTAGCCTGTGGCCATCTGAGGTCTGCAGGAAGCTCTCAGAGCCAGGCTTCGTCCACAGCCAGGAGTGCAGCAGCATCCACGTTCCCGAGGCCTGGAATTCCTCCTCTGCAGGGTTCTTAAATCCAGGCATCATTCCTTTATAAGATGTAAGGAAGGCTGGGTGGAACTGCCTCAGGAAGCCACCACCATCTATTCACTTCTTGGAGAAGTCATTCTCCAACATACAGGACTAGTTGATGAGTGAGTGTGGGATGTGGCTGAGGAGCTTGCTTTTTATTTTGTTTTTTTAAACTTCTATTTATTTATTCACTTGGCACAGGCTCTCATTATATCGATCAGACTCAGTGATCCTCCTGTCTCAGCCTCCCCCGCACTGGGATTACAGGTGTGCGTCACCACGCCCAGTTCCAGGACAGACCTGGTATGCTGTACCAGGGATCCAACCCAGGTCCTTGTGCTCACCAGGCACATGCTTAGACCACTGAGCTATCTCCCCAGCCCACGAGCTCGCCTTTGAAACAAACATTCTGGATGGTTCTGACAGTCTAGATAACTTGGAAACACACTGTCCTGGTGGATGAAGACCATCCCTTCAAGCTGCTGGATATGCCTATTGGAAATACATGTCAGTATTGCCTTTGGATGTCATATCCTTCAAAAAAAGGAGAAGAAAGAAAAGGAAAAGGAGGAAGAGGAGCAAGAAGTGGGGTAGGAAAAAGACTGGATGCATTTGAATTTTGTAAACTATTGTTCCTTTTATTGTCTGTTGTTTGCCAGGAAGCTGAGAGTGCAGTCTCCTGTGCATTTACAGTGGGCATCCTCTGCACGCAGATTTCCCCTTCCTCCATTCTTGCTCTCCAACTCCAGTATTTAATAATTTGGTTGGCATTCCTTTCTGGAAACAGGCATGCTATGAATCATTCAGCATTTCATAACACAGGGACAAATAAAAGTTTTCACATCACGGGTCAATTTGTGAGAGAACAACAGTGTCTGAAGCGATGCTCATTGAAAAATAATTCTGACTGATTTTCATTCAATACAAGAATGTCAGGGTGTGTGACAGAGAAAAGTGGCCATCATTCCTAAGCCACTGTGAGCTACAGGCTTGGGGCCTGCTGAGAAAAGATTTGTTGCTTTCCTGCAAGGTGGGCGAGGTGCCTCCGTGGGTTTCCTGCACACGTTGGCCTCTTTCTGAGGAGATTGGTGGCTGCGAAGGGGTGAGCAGCACCAGCCGAAACAGGAAAACGTCTTTCCAACCTCCTGCTTCCGTGCATGGCCTGTCCGTGCAGCATCTGGGCCAGTGAGTGGGGAGATGCTTGTGCCTACTTTCCGGAGCTTTCTTGAGTGGAGCTGTAGCGCCTGGTGGCACACCCGGAGTTGGGTTCATGGTACTAAGACAGAAATGAAGAGGCAGTGACTGACACCATGCACTGCTCAAGACTGCTGGGCTTAGGTCGGGGGGCTGTGGGCCTGGCCGGCCCCTCCACGTGCCGCTGAGGGACCTTGCTCACATCACTTTATCCTCTTTCTTCCTCAGTTTTCCACTTGCCAGTGGGCAGGAACCTATGTGCCTGGCTAACTTCTGTGGGCTGTTGTGAAGACGAAGAGCTGGGGGTGATTTTATCTTAACGTTACGGGGGCACAGTTGAGAAATGCAGTTTACATGCTAAGGTACACAATGAGGTGATTTGATATATGTATACGCTGTGAAATGATCGTTGCGGTCATGCCGGCTGTCACTCATCATCTCGGACAGTGCATTTTTGTGAGAAAGCCTAAAGCCCACTCTTAGAAAATTTTGCCTGTACAATCTAGTACTTTTAGCTCTAGTCTGATGATGATTCTGTACAGTAAAGTGTTGAAGTATGGTCGTGGCCACAACTCCTACAATCAGAGTAAGAGGGTTATCATGTAGCTCTCTCCTCTTTGTACAGGAGTTCTTGAGAGAAGCAGGGTCACAGACAGCTTATAATAGCAACAGTAGCAGAAAAGATGCTAATTGTATCTCTCAGCACTGAGCTACACTTGGTGTGAGACAGGAGATAGCCTTGAGAGCCTGGCGGGGGATGGGAACTGGGGGTGGGGTGGGGGGAGCGCATGCTGCCAGTGGAATGGTTCAGGCCTCTCTGGCCCCGCCCCTCAAGCCCTGCCCTGGTCCTCTGGCCCCGCCCCTCAAGCCCTGCCCTGGTTCTCTGGCCCCGCCCCTCAAGCCCTGCCC